CTTTTAAAACATTTAACAAAATAAAAGCTTTTATAAATAAGGTTCAGGTTAAAAACAAATGAATGTTTTTCTTAGTTTCTTCAGATTTTTTTGTTGCTCCTCAGCCGTCAGCACCGAGCCCTGACTGGACCTGGACTCATGTGGACCAGAACCTTCTGGTCCACATGAGTCCAGGTGCAGTCAGCTGCTGGTCCAGGAACTCCTTTTAGTTTCATGCAGGTTTCAGCTGAAATAAGTGGATTCTGGACTCCACACCTGCATGAAATCAGAACTCGGCGCTGACAGAAGCGGTCCAAACAGAACCGGTCCAAACAGAACCGGTCCAAACAGAACCATCAGGTTTAGATTTAGAATGTTTATTTGAAACAAACAAAGTGAGTGGAGGAACCGGGTCACAGCGGTTCCTGTGCTTCAGGACTCTTCAGGCCACACGTGTAAATAAATCAAACAGCAGCAGGGAAGAAAAGCGAGAAGGTTCTGTTCAACTGGACCCGGCCAGTCTGGACCCGGCTGGTCCCTCTGGTACCAGAACTCTTCTGCAAACACAAACAGCATCTGATGAGTCGGTCTGATCGGTTCTGAACAGAAAGAGATCCTCCTGAGAAAGATCTGCTTCAGCTGTTGTGAGAGGAAACAAACAGACGGGTCGTGGTCCGGTCCGGTCCGGAACCAGAACCAGAACCAGAACCGGGCTGGACTCTGCAGGATCTGAGAACAAACACAGTCATGGTTTATTTAGAAACACATCTGTTAGTTTTATCTCCATCTGCTTCAGATTCTGCTTCCAACACAAACATGAAACGATCCCAGATTTACTGTGAAATCAGCTAAAACTGAAGGAAGCAGCCGAAGACAAGCTAAAGGTTTTACCCCCCCCTCCCCCATCAACAAACTAATGTAAACATCAGACACAAATAACCTGAAGGAAAACCTGCAGCCATCAGATCCATGGCTTAATCAGCTAAAGAAGCTAAAACTTAGCTGAAAGCTAAATGTGTAGCAAAATGCTACTAAAAGTAGCAAAACACCAGCTAAAACCTGAAAGTAATCGTATTACTGAGAATAACTAAACATTACATAAACACCAGCTAAAATGCAAAACATGAGCTAAAAGCTATCAAATGCTGCCCAAACATGAAAAGTACTAAAGTTTTTAACTAAACACATCAAAAAGCTAATTGTAGCAAAAAGCTAGCAAAACTTAATAACAGAAGGTTAACTAAAAGTAGCAAAAGGTTTGCTCATTTAGTCTGTTCTTAACAAAAAGCATTGACCGTAGGCTACTAACATTAGTATGATTAGCATTAGCCATACTAGCATTAGCTATACTAGCATTAGCTGTACTAGCATTAGCTGTACTAGCATTAGTAAGATTATCATTAGCTGTATTGCCATTAGCTGTACTAGCATTAGTTGTACTAGCATTAGCAGGATTAGCATTGGCTATATGAGCATTAGCTGCACTAGCATTAGCTGCATTAACATTAATTGCACTAGCATTAGCTGCACAAGCATAAGCTGTACTAGCATTAGCTGCACTAGCATTAGCTGCTCTAGCATAAGCTGCACTAGCATTAGCTGCTCTAGCATAAGCTGCTCTAGCATTAGCTANTACTAGCATTAGCTGCACTAGCATTAGCTGCTCTAGCATAAGCTGCACTAGCATTAGCTGCTCTAGCATAAGCTGCTCTAGCATTAGCTATACTAGCATTAGCTGCACTAGCATTAGCTGCTCTAGCATTAGCTGCACTATCATTAGCTGTACTAGCATTAGCTGCACTAGCATTAGCTGTACTAGCATTAGCTGCACTAGCATTAGCTGCACTAGCATTAGCTGCACTAGCTTTAGTCGATGCTTCCTGTTGTTCCTGACGTTCTGCAGCCTGAAAGTTTTTCTCTGAAAACAAATACAAGTTTTTCAGAATCACAGCTTTGTTTTATTTTGTTATTAATTAATTTGTTTGTTTGTTTGTTTGTTTGTTTGTTTGTTGAAACTGAAAGTAAAAGTCTGAGTTTCCTTCAAGCAGTGCTGATCTGGACCTGGTTCTGGTTCTGGCTGTAACTCTGGGTCGTGTCATCAGCTCTGGTTTATGTACAATC